GTAACAAGTCAAGATAATAATACCTTAATGGATTGTTCTGGGAAGATCAAATCAAATAACATAACATGCATTAGAAACAGAGTAAGTGTAATTGAGTGCAAAGAACAAATCTGGACCCACTACTAGCAAAGATACTTAATAAGACCAGTCCACAGGGTAGGATATCAGCCCAAGCTGGACGTCATTGTCCACAGCTTTATATAGGAATGGAGGTACCAGAGGCAGGTGTGTTTCCTCAGAACACTTGGCATCAGGGATTAGCAGCCATGAAATTATAATATAGGCATATACGTGGGAAATTGTAACTTCATGCTAATATGGCCACATTAATTTTATACTTGATCAAAACCAGAAGAACGATTTGGAGTTTAAGAGCATCAGCTCTGGAGTTGTGTTGCCTGAGTGTGAATTTCAACTCTGTGGAACTCTGAGCAAGTTTCTTAACTTCTTTGGTAGCCAGCTTCTAAGATGGTCCCCAATGATCTCTGCTGCTGGTATTCATGCCCTTGTGTAATGCCCTCTCACACTGTATCAGGGCTGGTTTGTGTGAGCAATATAATAGAGCAGAAGTGCTGGCATATCACTTCTGAAGCAAGGTCATAAAAGGCTCTGTGGCTTCCTATTTGGCTGCTCTCTTGGATCCTTCATTCTACGGGCAGCCAGCTACCCTAACATGCCATGGAAAGGCCCACATGGTGGGGAACTGAGATGTCTTAGCCAAGAGCCACATGAGAGAGCTTAGAAGTGGAACCACCAGCCTCAGTCAAGCTTTCAGATGACATCTTGATCAAAATCTCGTAAGAGATCTTTAGCTAGAACCTCCCACCTAAACCACTGCCAAATTCCTGACCCACAGAAGTTGTGAGATAACAAGTGTTTGTGGTTTTAAGTTTCAAGGTAATTCATTATGCAGTAATAAGTAACTAAAGCACTCTCTCAAAGTAAAATTTACGTTTCTGTAAAAATGGAGATGATAATAGTCTCTCAAAGGGTTGTCCTAAGGATCAAAGGAAAAGCATATTGAGAGCCCTCCGCCCAATACCTGGCACAGAGTGAACACGTTAGCTATTGTTACATGTTTGCATACTTTCTCTTCCGTAAGCAAGGTGGTCCTGCGTGTATTTATGGCCACATTTCCCATGGGCATCAGCACTTTAAGTACACTGATCCAGCTCTAATCAGTCATTTTATGTTGTTTTTCTCTAGTCATCAACTGGGCAAACAGTCTTGCCTTTTTCTTTCTGATCCACTTTGGGATGAGAGGCAAGATGTATAAGAGAAATTTAAGGCACATACTGTGGCTAGGGAGCCACAATAGCTGGCCTGAAAAAGACCAACCCACTGACCTCCTGAGCACTTGACAAAGGTTGACAATAGTTAACTGAGCTAGCTGGAGTCAACCCGAGCTTTTACAGAGCTCACTGTTTAGAAACTGTCCCCTGAAATATACAAAGCTTTCATTCAGCCTCATTCATGTGCTTTTAAACCTGGAATAGATACTGGACTTCCTCAGGCAAACTTCATAGATCTTATCTTTTCTTTGAGTATTCCTGTCTCCTTCACATCTGGGTTTCCTTTTATTACTGATGGATGGGTGAGCAGTCAAATTTCCCATGCACTGAAAGAAGATACTGAGGAAATTTACTGCTAAAGCAGTGAAAAGAACAAGAGAAGAACAGGTACGTTTCTATCCCATAATAAAACTCAACAATAAAACTATTTGACAAATAACAAATACAATAATAAAACTATTTGATAAATCTTTCAAAAGCCCAGCCTATAATACAATGTGAAAGGGGAAATAAAGGGCTCACCAATATTGAGTCAGAGATTTTATTACCACTAAGCCATGAGGATTTCTATACTTTCATTATATTTGTGTATTTTACTGAGGATTCTCTGGGAAACTGAACGTTTAAATGTAATATCCTTCTATAATAGGATATATGAAGGGTTTAAAACAAAATACAATCCTTTATTATACATACAGAAGGAGGTGAGCTTTTAATTTTGCTTGATGACATGCATAATTCCTGACCTCAGGGAGTTTTTATTCTACAAAAAAATACAGAAGTATTACGCTTATGCCTCTCTTTCACTCTCTCTCCCCTCTGGGTGTGTTTAGTTCCGCTAAAGTCAGTGTTTCATATGGAAACACTTAACCTTCTCTTAAACCAACCTCTCAGAGGATGAACTTGGGTTCGCTCATTTCTTCCTCCTTTCTTTTGGTTGTTTATTTCTTAGCTTTCTGCATGATCTATCAAAATCTTCCTCCCTCCCCTTCCCTCTCCTTTCCTTCCTTCCTTCCTCCCTCCCTTCCTTTTATTTCCATTTATCTTTGCTCTCTCCCACTTCCTATCCCCTTTTCCTTCCTAGTACTTTTTTTTTTTTAACTTTAAACTTAGATTGACAATATGGAGAACACTTCTTGGGTGATGACTCTGGATTCTTTGTAAGAATGCTGCTCTTCATTGTGGCACAGCCCAGGAATGATATCGTGGACTTAATGATAATGCCACATTCCTTAGTTTTCATCTCTGCCCCTTTAAAGCAGGAGTTGAAACAAGAGGATTTCCCTTTCCTCCTCAAATATACATACATTCCAACTAAGAAATATGAGAAGAGAACTTGAGTGTGTAAGCATAAACAAAGCACCCCATGATACCACATATCCACCCAGTTGCCCAAGGGCAACATCCTTAGCCACCCTCCTCTTCCTTGTATGTTTAATCAATTACCAAAGTCTAATTGGTCACATTTCTGAGCAGCCCTATAGTCTCCAAATTCTGCTGTGCACCATCAGTCTTCTAGGACACTTCCCTGCTTCCCCTCTAGCCTTGCCCTGCTCAACCCCTGTACCCACTGCCCTGCCCAACAGTCCAGGCATGCTCACAATTCTCCTGGAGTTCTTCATCATCTATGGTTAAAAATCAAACTTCTTTCGCTGCTTCCCACTCTCCTCTTCTGCTAGGAGCCCTTTTATAATCCAGTTAGAGGATGTGCCCTTGTATCTCTGTATTGACTCATAAGGCATTTAGGTTTTCTGGAAAACCTTATCCCCAGGAACTGATAGTAACCATTCAAGCATTCCCACAGAAGAAACTTCTTATGAGAAGACCTTCCCAGAAGTACTCCTTCTAATCCACAGGCAAGTCTGTTCTGCTCAAGCCTCTCTAAATTATCTTATCCAATCATAATACTTAGATGGAGACACAGGAATCTCTGGAGAAGTCCCCACCAAAAGAATGTTCTTGAAATATTTGTCCAAATTTCATGCGGGGGAAGAGACGAGGTGTGGTTTTCAGGGAATGGCAAGACAGCCCCTCTCTAGTCTGCATGCTCCCCCGGCAAAGCAAAATCCCTGTAGTTAACCCGACCAACCCCTAGAAGGCACTTGGCTGACCCAGTCTCCTAGACCATCTCACTGCCCATTTCAAGTGGCTTCATCAAAGTTTGGTGTTCCTTCCAAGTTTCCTCAAGGAAAGTTCTGATAGTTACAGCTTTATACCCATTCTTCCAGTGATGCTGTGGTGTGCTTCAGTGATGTTCTGGAGACAAATGAGCTATCCGTTTAAAAAAAAAAATGCATGACTTTTTGCATATTTGTTTCCCACTAGCTATAAAGTTCTTGAGGTCAGAGATCTTTAAAAAATTCAAGCCTTGTATTTGCAGCAAGTAGCACTGTGCCTGGGACATAATGTAAGCCACGTGAATATTTATTGATCGTATGGATGATCCATTCTTTTCTTACAGCCAGGCTTTGTGTGTGTGGTTGTTTAAACATACAAAGTATCATTTCAAAAAAAAAAGAGTCAAATATAAGTGAACTGATGTCTGCCATTTAATTGTTTAAAACGATGGTAACCATTGCTTTCTTAACTAAAAGTCATTATCAATAGGTCAGCACACTCAGTTACTTAACCTTTGGGACCTCTGCCCCAGTCCTGGAATTGCCAGGCAAACATAGTCCTTGATAGCTTCACAAACTAATTCTGAGCTGTCACCTTGAAATCTGGAGAAGACCCCTCAGTACGTGAGCACTGCCTGCACATTTCCTGGTTAGATAGAGCATCCAGAGAGAATGCTTCAGTTGGCTGACTAGAATGTGTCTTACTGAAATGAAAGTAAATATTTACTTAGAAGGAAAGTAAGGCCACAAGAGACCCAAACTAGTTGTTCTCACTTGTTTGCACCCAATAATGTGTATTCCATTACATGAACATTTTATATCAGGAACTAGAGCTGCACTGGGTCAGGAAAGCTAAAAGAAATGAAGGTGGCTTTCAATGAAAGAATCCACCACACATCACTGATCCCATCCCCTTCCGAATATTACCACGTACACCAGTTTTATGATTTACTCTGAAATACTGCTATAAGTGGTCAATAGTTATTTCCCTGCATCTCAACTCTCCAATTAATGACTTTCCATCGCCCTGGAAGGAAAAGAACCTGGGTTCCCCATACAGTCTATTCTCAAAACTGTATCTTGGGAGTTTTCTTTCTCTCATTCTTCCCCTCCTTTTATGACAGCCTTACTACTGTTCGGGACCTTCAAACACCACATCTTCTCCTTTGAAGATCCCTACTAGGGAGGCTATTTTTTTTTTTAATTGAAATCATATTAAACATTTAACTTGGAATTTAATAAAAAGAAATCCTAAGGCTTCTCCTTAATTTCAGGAAGTGTGTATTTATGATACATAAAATGCGGCCGCTGCCAACCTTTTGCAGCCTGAACGCTGGAGACCCCGGGAAGGGCATCTAGCCACGACCAGGGAAGCCTCAGCTACAACCTGGTGCACTGGTCCAAGCCCCCAGCAAGATCCTTAGCTCTCGGTGTGGTAAGGTAGAACCCGATCCCGGTCTCCAGTTGTCTTATCTTTTTCAAATGTTTCGAACTTACTGCCTTTGTTCAGCAGAACCACCGGCACGGTGATGATGGTGATGAGCGCAGCAAGCCCCAGCAGTCCCAGGAGCACCTTCCACGGTGTCTGCAGGCGGGTCAGATCGTGTCCGGTTAGAGCGAGCCGTCGAGCCCCAGCGCAGTAGAGGTAGAGGGTCGGGGCCCGCCCTGCACCCTAGGCAGCGGGGTTTGCCGATGGGCGTGCATTGGAAAGGGGGCACAGTGGGCTGGGAGGGTTTGGAGCGCGGAGGTTGCCAAGAGCGGTCGCCCTTGAACTTTTGGCCTCCAAGCACACTAGCATTTGCTTCTCTACGCCTCCTGAACGTCAGAAGCCAAATGAGGGAGAAGCCAGGTGAGGGTTCGAGCGAGCGTTTTATGGATGGCTCTCTGCGTCCTCCAAGGCTTGGCACCTCTTTCTAGCAGAAACCCCGGGGGGCGAGCGCCTGGCGGGAACTCGGGGAGGTCCCTTCACCTGTCGAGGGTGGCCCTGGAACTTCCGCCGAACAGGAGCCCCTGGTTCCGTTCCGCGAGCTTCGGGGTCACTTGCGGGAGAGTCTGGTGAAGAAGCACCTACAATTCGCCCCTGGGGTTAGGGAAAGGCGCTCCTCACTCACCTTCATGGTCGGCGTGTGCCCGGAACTGAGCGGTCGGAGCAGGAGCGCAGGCAGAAGTCAGGCAAGCCGCCGAGACGCGCTTCCAGCTCCGCTGCTCGGCGCGCGGAGTCACTGGGCGCTCCCAAGTTTCGGCCCCGAGTTAAACATTAGTGAGCACCCGGCCGGCTCGGTATAAAGGCCGCGGGCAGGCTGCGGGCGAAGGCGCGCCCTGCGCCGGGCACTGGCATCCCGGCCGGGGGGCGCCCGAGAGGCGCCTCCCCCGTGTGCTGGGCGCGGGGCGGCAGCCGGGGCGCGCAGGGCGCGGGGGCCCCGGGACGCGCGGGCGGGGTGGCGAGAGCGCGAACCGGAGTGAGCCTGCGGGCCGCACCCCACGCACAGACGGCGGCCGGCCTTGGCTAATAAGGGATCTGGGCGCTCGGCTCCCGTGGGGTCTGCGGACTCACGGCTCATTGCTGGCAGCTGTGCTAAAACCCAGGCCTCTGTCTTTTGCTAGTGAAAGTATGTTGGGAAGCAGGGGGGTGTTTAAAGCTTCTGGAAGGCAAAGTGAGAGAGAATGGGATTATTCAATTTGTGAATGGCGCTTAAAGGCTAAGTATCTGAACTCACCCTCCGCAGGGAATTTCCAGCTTGTTTTACCTTCTCATCAAGTTGCCAAAAATAATAACAATAACACTTATGTGGAACTTACTTTTTTCGCCAGGAGCTTCTGTAAGCATTTACTGTGTTTATTTTGCAGGGAGGAAGCCTAGGCACAGAAAAGTTAAGTCACTTGTCCAAGCCGCTCAGCTAGGATGTCTTGGAGCCTGAATTCAGAGTCCATGTTCTTAACCATTACTCCACATGGCCTCTCATCTTTCAGTCTTACAGAGGGTGAGGGAAAAGGAGGTCTTTTTGGCTTTTCCCTTCCCCACGTCCCCATTATGCTCTGAAGGTTGGTTCCTTTCTCCTTTTCTTCCTTCCTCCCTCCTTTCCTTCCTTCCTTCCTTCCTTCCTTCCTTCCTTCCCTCATTGCCACATCCTCCCATTTATTCTGACCACTCCCTAAATATTTGGGTGGCTACAAGGTGCCAGACCCTCTTCTAGTTGCTGGAGATAGAGAAGTGGGACAAGACAGGTGAGGTCTGTGCATTTGGCACTTTCAGTATAAAATGCTGTGGTAAACATTTGCCTTTAGGGTCTCCCTATGCTTACTTCCTCTGAGGGTAAGTGTCCCCGCCCCACCATTTCTTAAAGGCCTCTTCAGCTTGTTCACTGCAGCTGAAAAGCAAAGTCTCCGTGTCCATAGTTAGAGGTAAAAGATCAAACATGCGAAGTCCTGTGGGACATTAACATAGTTATGAATAAAATCAAGTTTTCATCCTTTATCTCAAGTGCTGACTTTGCTTCTAAACTCAGGATCTTTCCCCCTCCTTGACCACTGGTTGCTCACGATGCATACATATGCTCACCCTCACCTACTTCCAGAGGCTCAAACTGAACTCTTCATCTCCTCCATCAGTCTCTCCCTACCCTTCTCTGATCATCCCTGTCTTCATTCAAAGTGTTCCCATTCACCATTCACAAAAACTGAAAACTTCACTCATCTCAGGTTTTCTTTGCCATTCTCCTACTACATTCACTTGGCCACCAATTCCTCTCAACTCTGCCTTTAGTCATATGTTTCAATTCCATCTGCTCCTCCCTTTTCCAACTGCTCAGAAGGTGAGTCAATAGTGTTACTGGAGCCTGTGAGCTGGAGCGATGAAAAGAGCCAACCAACAAGGACTACAGGGAATGGTGCCATACTGGGGGCTCAGTGTAGGCCTCTGCTCTTATCAGTTTATGCACAAAGCAATGGAGGAAGGAAGCCACAAGTCACATTAGCCTTGGAGAGGGAAGGCAATACAGCTGAGCCCACGCTTAGCCTCCATGCCGGTATCATGGCACCATACATCCAGCAAGGGGAAGCTGGGGGGAGGTTGGCTGACATCCATGGGACAGATAATCTTGTTCTCTGGAGGGCATTCCATGAGACACAAATATCTTCAAACCCTTCCCTCTTCAAGATATTCTTTTCCCAAATCTCCCCTACCCCAACTTCTTTATCACCAGTCTTTCAAGCTTGTTTTTTCCAAGTCCCTAAGATACCAGCTGGCCAACACATTAGCTGCCACCTATGAGTCAGTGTTGATCTTATATCAGGCCATTTCTCTTTCCATGAAAAATGAAAAAAACAGCTGTAATAAAAGTTCTGCCCCTTAGGAAGATTTGTCTTCCTACTCTATTCCAAGACATCCCTGAGAGGGGCTGTGATGCAGCAGCCATCCAGTTAGGACTGCTGCCAGCTTACTTGGCATAAAGCTGACCTTTCCTCTGTTACCTGGCTATCGAGAACTCCCCATGAAGCTACAGGTGTTTTGAAAATAGGATCTTTACAGAAGTAGTCAGGTTAAAAAGAAGTCATTAGGGTGGGCTCTAATCTGAGTGGTTATAAAAAGGGGAAATTAGACACAGAGACAGATATGTGCAGAAAGAAGATGATGTAAAAAGACACAAGGAGAAGATGACCATCTATAAGCCAAGGAGAGAAACTTGGCACAGGTTCATCCTTCACAGCCCTCAGAAGGAACCAACCTTGCCGATCCCTTGATTTGGGACTCCCAGCCTCCAGAAGCGTAAGCTGCTGGTTTGTGGTATTTTATTACAGCAGCCCTAGAAGACTACTATGCTTGGTAGTCTTGGTTCCTGGATCATGCTTTCTGTCTCTACCAGGGCCCTGGAGAAAGAGAGGAGTTGGTTTTCGTATAGTGAATAATTGTTGACTGTTGTAACCAAAATCTAAGATGGGCCCCAGAGTTTTGGGGGTATTTTATTATACATCAATAGGTAGCTAATAAATTGGCAAAAAGGACATGAGTCCTTAGGCATATCCTCTGTGATTCTCTTATTGGGGTTTGCCAGAGGCCTTGTACGGTATCTCTGGCTGCCACAGACATGTCTAAAAGTACTGCATCTGCTAGATCATTAAGATACAAGTATCAGGGCAGCCTCAACTTGGAAGCCCTCTCTTGCTCCAGGCTCCATTCGAGACAGACAGACTTAGAAGCGCTTGGCAAATGGGTTGGAGAAGCACTTCCAGTTGTGGTATATCATTTCTCCAAAATCTGAAGAGTTCTGGCAAACACTGTTCCTCTTCGTGGTGGGCATACAAGGTATAGTGACTTATCTTTCACTTTAGAGGAGATATCCTGGCATACTCTAGACTACTGAATTCCTTGAAACTTTGCATGATTTTCATGGGATTTACCCTCTATTCTGTGGCCATATTTGTCTTACTAAAGCACATAACGAAATCGCTACTTATGGTTCTTGAGGTCCAATTGGCATAATGTTACCCAGGTGATGGATCAGTGTGATATTCTATGGGATACGATCAAGGTCCTGGGAGACCATATTATGACAGAGAGCAAGAGAGTTGACGTAGCCCTGAAGTAAGATGGTGAAACTATGCTGCTGACCCTTCTAAGTTAAGAAAAACTCTTTTGGATGGTCCTATTAATTAGATCAAGAAAAAAGTATTCTTCAGGTTAATAGCCCCCAGGTACTAGGTCGATATTATTTGACCCAGTAAAGTTACCACACTGGAAATGGCTGCTGAGGTTGATTCATAAACATTTTCCACAATTCATCTTACTTTTGCACTGACTAAATGAATGGGGAAATTGAGTGTAGGATAGAAAACCAGCATTCTTGCATTTTTTGGGTTCTTATCTTGTGATAATACCACCAGGGATGTGGTATTACTTTTGATTTTACTCTATAGCTGTGGGGGAGGGACAGTTCCAGGGGCTTCCCATTGGCCTTTCTTACTGTAATGTCTCTTCACCAGTCAGGGATGCAGGCTAGAAGCTGAAAAAGGCAGGAGAAGAATTCTTCCCTAGAGCCTAGAAGGAATACACCACCTGATAGCACCTTGATTTTAGCCCAGTAGGACCTATTTCAGACTTCTGACCTCCAGAACTATAAGCTGATATATTTCTGTTGTTTCACATCACCAGGTTTCTAGTGATTTCTTTTTTTTTTTATTGTTTATTTGTTTATTGGGGGGGGGCAGGGAGAAAAGGAAAGAGAGAATCCAAGCGGACTCCCAGCGGTCAGCACAGAGCTTGATGCAGGGTTTGAACTCACAAACAGAGAGATCATGACCTGAGTCAAAATCAGGAGTCTGATGATTAACCAACTGAGCCACCCAGGTGCCCCTGTAGTCATTTCTTACAGCAGCAATAGGAAATTAATATACCACTGGACCATAATGGTGTTTTAACCCTATAGAAATGAGTATAAACCTAGGGCTAGTATTTAATAACTCCCGGGAGGTCTGAGCATGTCCCTTTTCACAGGTCACTTTCCAACTTAACTTTATGTCACGTGTCTTCCTGAGGGAAACTTGGAAGAAGATTTAAGTTAGTGTGGCAACTGCAGGCTCCTTCCTCAAAAAGATCTGGCTTTCATTTTATTTTATTTTGTTTTATTTTTTAATGTTTATTTTATTTATTTTTTTAAATTTTAAACATTTTAATTTATTTTTGAGAGAGAGAGAGAGAGAGAGAGAGAGACAGAGCATGAGTGGGGAGAGGGGCAGAGAGAGAGGAAGACCCAAAATCCAAAGCAGGCTGCAGGCTCTGAGCTGTCAGCACAGAGTCTGACATGGGGCTTGAACCCACAAACCTTGAGATTATGACCTGACCCAAAGTCAGGTGCTTAACTGACTGAGCCACCCAAGCGCCCCTGGCCCTCATTTTAAACATGGCATTCTGGTTTGAGAATGAAATAGTTTGAGTCTGGAAACTTAAGACGCTATGAATTTCTATTACGGCAACTTAAGTGAGATTTCTGCCACAGACCTAGAATTTTTCTGATTGCTTAAATCAAGCCATAGTTTAGAATGCTGTCCATCTACTTCATTCTTAAGTACCTCATGATAAATGAACCACCATCATTGCAGGTGAAACTCTGGTTACCATGTTATCCTTGTAGCTGTTTATGGGAACAACCCCTTTTAAGAACCCTCAGTCTTGGAGGTGGGGTCACCTAGAGTGAGCTGTTGCCCTGCAAAGATGGAACCAATGTGAGATTACAGCACAACATAGATGAAAAGCAGAAGGAATAAATACTTTGGTAACTTTCTCCTACTTCTCTTTAATATCTTGCTGGTACCTCCTACTGGCTGAAAGCAACTAATGCCAGAGGGCAAAGAAACCTGGATAATAGAGCATGCAATCTGTAGGGGTCAGACTCATAAGGCAATGGGCAGGGAAGATAAGGCAAAGAGTAAATGGGAGGGCCCAAATGAAAAATAATGAAATAAACAACCCAACATGGTGATAGTGTGTATTATTTGCTAATCATCTTCTAATAAAGATTGGAAATGTTCCATTTATGCTTTTATAATATTCTTTGGTCCTTCATTTTCCAGGGTCTCGTGAAATGCTCAGAACACATGCGTAGTAAGTATTGAAAAAATGAAAATGTGAAATTATAAATGAAGAAAAAATATCTAAAATCTTTCTCTGTGTTCTTGGGGGTTGGAACCAGAGGCATGGAAGAAGGGGGATCTCACAAGTAGAAAGAAGGGAAAGAGAGAGGCTGGGCCAGGACAGAGGGAGTGGTGAGGGAGCTGAACAGATTCTCCTCCTTGGTCTTGGCTTTAGAGGATAAGTAAAGTAAGTACAAAGGTTTTTATTTGTTCTTTTGCTCAGTGGATACCTATCCCCCATGTAATCTGCCCCACTTATCTGGGAATGGACTCCTGCTGCCCTAACCAAACCTCACACCTCACCTCCTTTAAAATCCAGATCACAACTCACTTTACAGGTTACCTTCAACATTGATCCCATCTGTTTCTGTTTTTCCTACCAACCATAGTTTGGAAGATTATTCTGGTCGTATCCTAAATAGAACCTATTTACAACAAAATTCAATCCTACCAAGAGATATATAAAAGATAGAAAGCTGGCTGGATAATTCTGTGGATTCAGATATATGGAAAGAAATTTTAGGACAAAGAACAACTGCACGCAAAGGCTGAATGAGAAAGTTGGAGGATCTTCAGGCAAAATCTATTAGTGTAGTTTCGCCAGGATATAGGGTATTCTAGAGAGTACTGGGAAATAAAGGTCAGTTGTCGAATATTCTTTGGTCTTAAATTCAATATTCAGCATATACTAGGGAGCCACTGAAAGTTTTTGCTGGGGAAAAGTTAATATTTGAACTTCAGCTGTGAGAATCAGGCAGTAGTATGTGCTGGATGGATGAGAGAAAGAAGAATCAGAGACAGGATGAGGGGCAATACACTTGATGTTGCAACGTTAATTGGAAAGGTGCTTCTCTTTGTGAAGCTTATCATAAAAGAATTTAATCACATTGATTTTTACTTAACTATAACTCTCTAAAAACTTTCCCAGCTGTGGTTTGGGGCGTTTGCTTTGCCCCAATTATGAGTAATACCAAATAAGGGGTTCTTGTCACACTTAGTGCTCAGAAAAGGCCTTTTGCTACTTTTTAGACCAGACACCAGCCCAAGGGGGAGAAGACTTCTGTGTTTTTCTTTCACTGGTGCCTTCTGGATATTCTGTAGGTTTTTTTTAATTGAGAGAATTTGCTTCTATTAAGTTACTAAGAAGACTGACTTAAGACTTTATGGGAAAATGTGTTCAAGATCATTAGAACCATATTCTCACAAAGCGGCTGTGGCTATGATGACATCTCCTCCTTAGTGTTTTTCAAGCTTTAAACATGTGGTAGATGTGATGCTGTTGATACATGTTTATGAGGCTGGAGTTAGTGGTGGAGTGGATGGGCTGGGTAGGTAGTGGTTGCTATAATGTAAGGAAAGAAATAGCAATAAATATAAATATAAATATATAAATATACATACATACATACAAATATATATATATATATATATATATATATATATATATATATATATATATACACACATATATATATATATATAGCCCCCCAAGAATCATTCCCTTGGAACAAAATTGTCCTCAGTGAGAATGCTTGGTGTATATTTAACACAGTTTCAACACCAATGTGGCAATTACTCAGTATCAGCAGGATATCTTTACTCCTTTGGAGCACTGGTTCCAGCATATGATAGATATACTGAGTTCATTCTAGGAAAGCTAACCTCTGAAATCTTAATGCTGAGAAACTCCATATGCAGGTAGATAATGACCAGATCATATATGACAATTGGATTCCGACTTACAGCCTCTACAGCAACCTTGGTCAGGGCTTGGTCAATGACTGCCAGCTTCCCCCGCTAACTTGGAACTAACCAGAAAAAGATTAATATGCTCCCCAACCTAATGTTACAAGATATTCTATTTCTAGTCAGACTTCTTCCTGTTTTCCCATGCCAATATTCTCCAATCAGGGCACACTTGAAGACCTCCTGCTTTTTTTTTTTTTTTAACCTATAACGCACTCCCACTCCCCTGCCTGCCTTGGGCCCAAATGCCAAGTGATGGTGGCTGACTCCCTTACACTATTAAGCTCTGAAAACATAGCTTTTGATTGTTCCTATTTGGATGGTCTTTGTTTTATTTCCATAATATGGAATGAAGATATAGCCATGGAAGACATTACATCAATAAAAAGATACCATAAATAATAATTCTCTCACTGTTCTATTCCAGCATCTCAGCAGCATGCACATCTTGATGTTTGTTTTCTTTGACCACTCCAAAGGCAGTTATACATCATTCTCGTGTCCTTTATTAGCATCAGTATCTTAATAATCAGTATCTTAATAATTTAAATGATGTGTCCACATTTTGTGGCCATTTGACGATAGCAGTTATAATATTCAAAGATGCTTGGAAATAGAAGCAAGTGCTAAAAAATTAAGATAAGTCATTCAGTAGGAGTCTTATATAGAAAAATACATGATTACTGAGTTTGTTGAATACTTACATGTTAACTTTGACTTTGCTGGGGCCTAGGAAAAGGCTCAGTGTTCAAGTGACTCCTTGAGGATTTCATTACAAATGTTTATCTCTTTCTAGTTAAGATTTTCTGTCATATCCACCAATGTATTAGCATTAACATGTTGGCAGACAAACTATAAGAGATTTCACAAGAAACAGTGGATTATTAATTTGGTTGGAATTAATTGAGTAAAGTGGAGGATCCAATTGGCTTTATTAAACAATTCATCAATCGGGCAGCATCCTGTCTAGTAGGTAAAAGGGAGCTCTAAGAAGTTGTACATAATGGAAGGTCTTTGTAGGGAGACAAATAAGGGATAAGGGATAAGGAAGTTATTCGCAAAAGAAGAAGAGGATTGTTCCAGGTAAGGTAACCTTTCCTTGGGGCAATGGCAGGGGATCTTATTAGGTGGATCACCTCAATTTCCTTTTGGTGATGGTGAGTCCATGAGACAGATTACCTGATTGGTGCTGACCAGAACATTCCTGATTGTCCCATGAAGACTACATTTCTGGGGAGTTTGGAATTGCAATTAGATTAGGTATGAAGCCTTGGTTTGGTGATTTGGCCTATGTGGCTCCATTTTGGGTTTGTGGTGTCCTTTTTAACAGAAGATTGATTCTAAATCAGGTCATGTGGTTATGAGTAACGTTGCAAAGACCACCCAAAGTCTTTTGGTGGAAACTAGATGATGGCCATGAATAATGAGAAAATAACTTAATCAGACGTTCTTCAATGGGCAACTCAGGGCTCTGGCTTCTACTAGGAAGAACAACAAATTTCAACACGGTAAATCTATTATGTAAAATGCAATATATATTTTAAAAAACCTTTTTAATTTTCTGAGTGTAACTAACTGTTAATTTACATTTAACTTTAATCCAATCAAGGTTCATACTTACTGCCTGCTACCTTGTCAGGCAGTGTACTGGGAATATCATAGTGAACAAGTCAGGCCCATCATGGAGATCACAGTGTTTACAAATGGAGTTTACATTGCTAATCCATCCAAGCTTGCTAGCAAAATCCAAGACCAAATTCCAGAGACGACGGCTTTACTGGTCCCCCCAAAGCATTTTTTTGTGGGGGGGGGGGAGGCTGAGGGAGGATATTAGAATTCCCAGAGGCCACGTGAATGCACTGAGCTGTGGATCTGATGTTTAGAGTGTGAGAGTCCCCTAGGGGCTCTTCCTTCCATTTCCCACTCAGGTCTTGCTCTTTTCTCTTTTCACGATCCCGTCTATGCCAAGTATCCCCTGGCGTAATAACTCCTCCAAACAAGTTCTCTCGGGCAAAGGTCCCACCTCTCCACCCCTTTCTCCACTCTCATACTCCATCTATTCCAAGGAATGGATTTGATTGGACGTGCACTTTTATTAGGACTTTTGAGGCCAGAACTCTTCCTGATTCTCGAAAGTTGTGGCAAATGTGCTCTGTGCATACCTCTCCCACTGCCCTTACCATATTATATTGAAACGACCTGTTGTCTTTCTGTCTCTTGTACCTTGCTTTGGCTGTGGCAGACAAGTTTTATTAATATTTGTATTTCCAGAAACTACAGCAGGGTTGGGCTGGAGTGAAATCAGCAACGTACCAAAACCATGAAACACAGAAACAACTGCTTCTTCCAGACGTTCGACATACCACCCAGAAGGCAGTGTGGAGAAGAGGAAAGAGTGAAGATTTTAAAGTCAGACAAGCCTGGGTCTGTCATCCAATTATTATATGCCCGTGGGTCTTTTTCTAACCTACTTCACAGAGTTGTGGAGATTTAATGAGATAATAAATGAGTAACTTCAGCTACTCCCAGAAGCTTTCCAAAATGTTGATGATTTCTCCATATATCTCTTTAGCAGGGATCTCTCTGCTGGATCTGAGCTCCTGGATGGCTCAGCCTGGATCACTCAGAAGCCTATCAGAGGCAATTTAGCCAACAGTAAGTTAATTATTAATTATTGCTGGCGCTAGCCACACTCACTCCCCCGTGGGCCCCCCCACACCAAGTTTGATCCTTCTCCATCAGGCGCCACCTCAGGGAGAGGCGTCACCTGCCACACTGCCCAAGCCAGAAAGCCACAAGTCTTCCTTGATGTCCCCTCATTCGGACGCTACACATCAGCCTCTTCCCTGTCTCTGCTATTTGTCCACACCCCTCTAAGCTCAAAACCTTCACGTGAGTTCGGGCCTTCCTCTCTCTCTTCCCATCCAGTTCACTGCAGCTGTCTCCTCTGACTGGCTTCTCTTGTGCTTTCGCTCAGTGCAGCTCTGTCACTTTCCTGTTTACAGTTAATGGCTTCTCCTGCTGAAGGATAAAGCTGGAGTTCCTTGTCATGATCTGATCTCCGCTCTTAACCGCTTCTCCCAACCTCCCCCACCTATGCTAAATTAGGTGCACTTCCAAGCATCGCTGCTCTCTCCTTCGCTTCCAAATCATCAAGCACAATGTTTCCTCTGCCTCGTACTCCACTCCCCCTGTTTTTCTTTGGATTAGCTCTTAATCTTATGGACTGGACTTCGGTGGGAGCTCCTCTAAGTTTGTCCACCGAACCCCCCTCCTAAGTGAGGTACTTTGCTTCTATGCTCCCTGAGCGCTTCATGCCTCACTTCTTTTTAACAAAATTCTCTCACTCTGTAATGTAATTACTGTTACTCTAAAAAAAAAAAAAAATGCCCTGCCTGTTAATTTACCAGCAAAAATGGGTTTATTTGGGAATAGCAAAGAATTGCAATTGGAGATAGGCAAATCTGTAGAACCAAGGAGAGACAGGCTCTTTCGTAGAGTAAGGGGGAGGTGTTGGGAGGGGCTTTTACATACAAAAAGCCTATTGGCGTAAACCTGGAGTTCAAAGTATAGTGGCTCTTCATTGGCTGAGTTGCGGCAGTCTCTCATTGGCTGGGCTGTCGAGGGGAGTGGGGTGGGAGCCTATCTTGGGCTTGCTGGGGTAGTAAAGTAGTAACCACGTAAGTGCAAAGCGCATCCTTTCCTGTTGGGTCTGCAGTTGCGGAGGGGTGGTGGAGCATGAAAACTACCCCTGCCAGCCTTCTGACTCCATTCTAAATAAGACTTCCTTTTATTAATTTTCATATTATCTAATGTAATAATATGTAAGACTATGGACCCCATGCTAGGTACTAGACATTCTGCTAAGTTCTTGACATGTATTAGCTCCTGTGATCTTCCTAATAATTCTATGCGGTGGGTACTGTTACCGTTCCTACCGCACAGACGACGCACAGAAAGGCAAACATTCCTCCCAGTGTTACACAGCCAGGATTCGAACCCAAGAGGTCTGACTCCAGTCCATATAATTATATCCGATGCTTTTTTTTGCATCCAGTCATCTCCAAGGATTTTGTCTATGTTATTCACTGATGTACTCTCAGGGCCTAGAATAAATTCTGGCATGTAATAGCTGCTCATAATGTGTTTACAGACACACTGAATGAATAAATGCTAATTCATTTGTGTCCTTCCCTTCTGAGGGGCCAAGGGCTGGGTTTTATTCTGTTTATTCCTAGCAGCTGGCCTGGTACCTAGCACATAATAAAATTGTCAAGCTTGCCTCTCTGCATAGGTTCATTGCCACTCTGAGTTCCAAGATTCTATTTTGCTTCTGTGCTTTTTTGAGACCCTGTATCCACCCCACCAGCCATAACGCACTTTGCTGCATGTCAGTTTTCAGTGTGGATAAAAAAAAAATCTGGTCAGCTGCTGCTTGACAGCTGGAAAAACAGAGCTGCACTGGAGCCAAAACAATTTTGTGCCTCAGATAAGCAGGGAGGAGAGCCTCCTTCCTCATGTGGGTATGTGGGCAGAGGGCTGAATCATCGAGTTCTTTGAGTTCCTTGGAAAAAGATAACTCAAAGGAATATTACACAACATGGAGAAATGAGGAGACTAAGTAGAGGCATGAAAATGACTGGAGTGTTGAAAAATACAAACTATAAGGCTAAAAATAGTTGCGAGAGGAAAAAGCTGTGGGTCAATATTCCAGTGCCCCGAAGGTCTGTGCATGAATGGGTTCCAGTCTGAAGGATGTTGAACAGATGTTCACAGGAGGAAAGGAATGTAGATGCAATAATCTTAAGCTGAGACAGTGGGGAGAAGACAACTTATCTAGGGGAAAGACAGCCTGGGCTGCAGCATACTGTTATAAAACAGTACCCTCGAGTGGTGCGTAACCCAGCCAGAGGGGAAGGGGGTGCACAAGTAATGGGGATGTTTCCCGGTAGGAGGTGGTACATTTGGGCAATTTTCTTTTTCCATAGATTTAAAGTCCCAGTAGATTTTTAAACTGCATTGCAGAATCTCTCTAGAGACTTTGAAAACTTTGGGTAGGGTGGGGGTAGGGGGCGGGTTAGAATTTTGCGGTCATGCAAACAAACATTCTTTGTTCCACTCTCTGGCTTATTTGGTAGCTAACACTGGACAGACGCACATTGGTACAGTAGACAGAGTGTGGGCGAGTTGCCTACTCAGGCTCTGCCTCATTGTCTTTTTGGAGCAGTGCTTTACAAGAGTATTTAAAGATTTAAGAGGTGTGGCGAGTTAAGTAAAACACTATTCTAAAGAGCAGGGGGTAGTCTCCATAAATGGGAGTGGAGTTGTGATTGGTATTCTTTTTTTACCAGCATTATTTAATTTTCCTGCCAGGACTCCTGAGGTATTGCCCCACCGTGACAAAGGTTAGGTAGGACCCAAGTCCGAGGGGCTTATGATTAGAAAGAAGAGACTGAATTGGTTTCCCAGATGGAGTCACTGGCTTCCAAGGATCATGAGGAGTATCTTGTTTGGCAGTTTGTCCTGCAGGCCGTTGCTTGGGCTCCTGGGAAGGGAGGTGCTACAGAAATGTATTGTCATGACTAATGCCCTGAGGGAGGAGGACAACTGTGTACTAAGGTGTATACTCTAACTCTTTCCTGTAGGTTCATCTTTTCCACCCACGAATGTACACACTTCATGGGCAGGTATCAGATCTTCTAATTCCTATTTATAACCTTTCTTTTTCTTTCTCAGGGTTTTCAGGAACTAAGAATGCACATATGGAAGAGCGAATGCAAAAATTTAAGATACTTATATTGCGAAACACAAGTGGAATTTTATATAAATATAATTCATAAAAGGTATAAATGGCAAGAATTTCTTTCTACCCAATAATTTTGTGCAACTCCTGATATGCTATCTCTAGTGGTGAAACATGACAGCCCTCGGCCCTACAGAGACCTCCACCTGACAGCTCTAAGTTCCTTCCTGGATCTCAGAGGCTCTAGAATGCAACGTGCCTCACCTCTTCCCCGAACGTCCTGCTGTCCTCTCTAGGCCATACAGCTTCGTTGAGAGAGGAATGACCAAGGCATTCTCACTTTTGAGGGAAGTGAAATAAAACTGCTCAGACAAACCAGGTTTTCCAATTAAAGTCCACGATCTTCCTGTTTTCCCAAGAAGAGCCTCTGTTTTTTCCTATTCTCTATTGAAAGCATAGCTGGTAGACAGTCTTCAGTAACTATCCATCCTCTCTATTGTTTTGAAAGGCAATGCTTAGTATGTAGGTCATTTATGTTTAGAAGTTTCCCTTTGAAGTTTTATTCGAGCACAGAATTTACTAAAAAACAAACAACTCTTTATTATTTTAGTGAAAATCATAAGCTTAACTCAAATATACATAGGATCAGATTTCTGGACCTTTTTTCTACCCAGTCATCCTTGTGGGCAGTTAAGGCTTATGTATGGGTCAAGTACTTTTAACTAGTGGTTAATGGAATATATGTCATATAAATGTTATTTCTTTTAGGCATTCACTTAATGACTGGGTGGCCATTGCTAATAATGCAAAGGGATACGAAAACAGGTATGTAAAGGTTAGATTTGAACCATGTGGTAATCCTGATCCTTAACTATTTTTGACCTACGCATGACAATTTAATATAGTACAACCTGATATGTTTAAGGTTTATTCATAAAATAATACATTTTATATGTGTGTCAAATATAAAATTGATATTGGAATAGTAACATATTGCTATTAAGAAAAACTTAAGATAAGTTCAAATATCGTTTTAAATACTGCTGCAACATGGAAACATGATACCATGTTCCATACTATAATATACCAGGACTTGATGAAAGAAGACACAATTGTTTTATTTTGAGCCCACTAATTAAATATCAGTCTCATAACTTATAAAAAATATATTAATTTACTCTCAACCCTAATGTCAATACATTTTATGAAATGACTATTGTGTTGTTTGAGTCAGAGGTGAACTGTGTTGGGAGATGTAAGAAATCTTCCTTTACCTCACTGAAGACTATGTATTTCAATAAGAAATGCTTTACATTTTTAAACTGCTCTGTATGAATAAATAGTGCTAACACAAAATTAATAAAAAATGACCAGTAAAAATTTTAATTTACCGTTATGATGAGAATTCCAAGAAACATTTTTGGGTTGAAAAAATTCTGTCCGAACGTAACGCCTCTCCATTATATTTTTGTCCCAGTACACAGAATACAGGAATAATTCACAACTCAAAATTATGCAAAAGAGCTGATGCTCTTCTTCAGTTTGTGTGCATCTAATAGACGGTCTTAATAAAGAAGCTAATGAGTATCTGATAACACTGTGCAGTGTAAACATAAGGAGGAACCTAACAGGCTCACTAATCATGGAACAAATCTTTTTCTGTGGACAACCAGAAAATGCAAAATCATAGAACGACTGCATCTGGACTAGAGGAAAAGAATTCCTGCTCTCCTATTAATTCCAAGAAGGTAGATTAAGACTTCTAATCCCATTAAAGATAAATGCCTTAAAATGCTTGAGTACTTTATTATCAGAGATTTTCCCTCTGGATGCTGCAATTTAAGATTTTTAAAGGAAGAGTTATACTTTAGAGCTCAGGAGAACTGTCTTTTTAAAAAATTTATTTTTAATTCAAGTCTAATTAATATACAATGTTATGTCAGTTTCAGGTGTACCATATAATGATTCCACAATTCTATACATTTCCAGTGCTCATCAAGTTAAATGTAGTCTTAATCCCCTTTATTCATCTCCCCCCCTCCCTGCAACCACCAGTATATGCTCTGTATTTAAGAGTCTGTTTTTTGTTTGTCTCTTTTTATTCTTTGTTTGCTCATTTGTTTTGTGTCTTAAATTCCACATATGAGCAAAATCATGTGGTATTTGTTTTTCTCTGCCTGCCTTATTTCACTTAGCATCGTAGTCTCTAGGTCCACCCATGTTGTTGCAAATGGCAAGATCTCATTATTTTTATGGCTGAGTAATATTCCATGGAAGTCTCCATTTGCGTCAATAGGGAGTATCAATTTATAGTTGTTTCCTATGAAAATTCTGTGTGTTGGGATTTGAGCTGTATTAATTGTTTTAGGGCTTTCTCTCAATATTCTTAAGAAACTTAACAAAGCTTGTGGACAGTCCCAGTGTGCTTTTCCCCCCTCACATCAGTCTCCAGACTCAGCTCTCCCACCTCCCAGTCCCCAAGACCACTTCTTAGTGAAGGCCACCACCACTTCTCCTAGTGGCTTTCTGACTTCTAGTGCCCTCCCTGCTCCTTGTTCTCCTTACCCCTCTGTTGGATCTCTACACTCTGCCCAGAGACATTGTCCTCAATTGTGAGTGTGGTCCTATTGTTTCCAATCCTTGGAGCATTGTCTGTAAATTCCTTTGCAATATCTCCTTTCATCTCCACCATTCTTGCCACCTTCTCAGTGTGACCTTGTTCTTTGTTTCAGGCCTTTTCTCACTCAGTATCCCCTTCCAGGAACTCTCCAGTAGCGTCCCTGGTTTCCTGCACCCAAACAAACAATGCTTGTTTGCAAAGTCTCTGCTTGGAGGCTGTTTCCTCCAACTCACCTTGCCAAATCCTGAAAATCTGAATTTATAGAGCACCTTCACTTTTCTCTCCTATGGCTCTGATCATACTGATTATCGTAGTCTCTTTGTTTTTCTGAAACCCTCTCTAGTCTGTAAGCTCCTCAAGGATGGGGACTGTCCTTGCTTCTCTTCTTCACCCTTGTATTCTCAGGGCCTAGCACAAAACTTGGTTCAGAGTAGACCCTGAATGTATGCTTGGTGAGTGCACGCATACATGCTGCTTTGGGCAGAGCTCCTATTCTTGAAAAACTTATAGTCTATTTTATTTTCTGTGCATTGGAAGACTAGGCGGGATAATAAAAAGAACAAACCTTTAAAATTATCTGAATTTGTATCCCGGCTTTACAATTTCCCAGCCCCGTGCATTAGGGTGATTTATCCAACTCTCCTGAGATTTACTATATGAATCAGTATAGGGATAAGAGATGTCTACCTCTTAGGGTTCTTGTAAGTTCTAAAATAAGATCCATTAAACATGTGCTATAACAGGCATGTGTTGGCTTCCTTCCTCTGCCAATAAGCAACTCTGCTTCCACTTAACACAAATCTCTGCTCACCTTTCCAGTGGACTCAAGATGCTCTTCCCTCACATATGTGATTACAAGTTCACACAATTTTAAAAAGTCATATTGAGAGGGGCACCTGGGTGGCTCCATCGGTTAAGCCTCTGACTTTGGCTCAGGTTATGATCTCACAGTTTATGAGTTCAAGCCCCATGTCAGCGGGCTCTGTGCTGACAGCTCAGAGCCTGGAGCCTGCTTCAGATTCTGCGTCTCCCTCTCTCTCTGCCCTTCCCCCACTCATTCTCTCTCTCTTTCTCAAAAAACAAATAAACATAAAAAATAAAAATGATAAAAATTAAAAAGTCCTATTGAGAAGACATTAAGAGAGTTTATTCATTTATTAAAAACAAATTCGCAATGGGGCACCTGGGTGGCTCAGTCATTTAAACTGGCTGGCTTTGGCTCAGGTCAAGATCTCACAGTTCGTGAGTTCAAGCCCCATGTAAGGCTCTGTACTGACATCTCAGAGCGTGGAGCCTGCTTCGGATTCTGTGTCTCCCTCTCTCTGCCCCTCCCCTGCCCACACTCTGTCTGTCTGCCTGTCTGTCTCTCAAAGATAAATAAGCATTAAATTTTTTTAAAAAACCAATATTCAGAAATATAATACATTAAAACAAGATGTATATAATCAAGAATTTATAAATGTTTAAAGCATCATACATCAAATACCCTATCTTATTGTGTAGGATAGGTAAATTTAAAATTAGATTTCAATGGGCAAAACTCAGTTTTATGGTGTGGGGTTCAAATCTTAGGCCACTGTTAAATTTTATTATGCATTAATTTAAGTATTAATTGTAACGGAATAAACCTAAACATTTAAATTTTGAATGTAAAATTTAAAACACTAGAATTATATTTTTATACTCAGAATAATGATGTAAATTTAATATCAAAATCTTTCTCTAAGCAATAATAGTGATTATTCATTTTACTTGACTCTGAAAGGAGTTAAAAGATATGCAGAAAATAGATCCAAGAACTCCCTCATTGCTATTATTTTTTCAGTGAAAGCGTGTATCCCAAACTAAGACACAACAGAGTCAGCTCAGATAGCCTTATTTCCACAAAATTTGCAACCCAAGGGCTAGTTTTATATGTGTTCTTCACCGGCTGGATTGTGGCTGATCATGGCCAAGTGTTTTGATGCTGTTGGTTTGGCTCTTAAATGAAACTGGATCCTGACGACAAAGTTCAAGAATTATTGTCGGCTTCTCTGCATAACTTAGAAGCATCTCCAAAGGCATATGTACTATTGCCCTGGCAGACATATATACACGAGTACGGTGTAACACCTCCATCCTCCATGCTTGGCAAGTTTATGTGAATGTTCATTTTTATAGCCGCTAACTTATTAGCTGTGGATTACGTTGTCACTTTGTGTGTTACATTTCCAAGCATAAGAAGTGTGAGTGAGTTCTAAGACATGTGAAATGAAGGATCAGCTCGCAAAAGCTGGTCTTGAAGGCATCAGAGAGTAGGGATAAAGACTTCATCATGCGGATCATAGAGCCTGCCAATTGTTTGATTGACAGCTCTCTGTATGGCAAGTCTTGAGGGATTGGGTATTTAAATCTTAATTACAAAAAAGTGTTACAGAATACTAAAAATCATTCAAGGAAACTGGAAGGCTTATAATGTAGCATTCCTCTATTAATCTCTTATACGGAATAAAATTTGATTGACAAGATCCATACAAATAGTGTAAAGAAATTTAGGAAATCAGAACAAAACTGAAGGGAAAATTTTAAGCCATGTGCCATAAATGTGTCCTATTTTATAAATTAAATTGCTCTACAATCATATACACACAAATAAAACAGATTAAAATGAGCTTTATTATAAGATATAATCCTAACTGGCTTAAAGAACTAAAATCTCAGTAACAAAATGCAAATAAACGAAAATACAATACAAATAGCTGCTTTGCTTAGGAAAAAAATAACACAAGAGCTTATTACAGAAAAAAGAGGGAGGGTGTATTCCAAATGATAGGAATAAAACAACTGTAGAGAAAAATTTTTTAAATAAAAATTGAAAAATATTCAAGAACACCAGTTATGCTCTCAGTGTTCTCAGCTATGTCATTCCCTTATCAATTCATTATTCAATAAACACTTATTAAGAGACTGCTCTGTCCACATCCTTTGCCAAGTGCAGAGAATATAGAGGTAATGATGTCATGGTCAGAGTCCAGTGGGAAAGCACTCATGAAAACAGGTTATTGCAACAGAACATCATTCACATATAAATAAAGAGCTTGGATGTCTTGTGTTCCCTTCTCGCCCATTGCCACCCTCCATCCTTCTCCACCTTGCCTTTCCCCGGGGAGGCTGATCTGGATAGACTACTGTATCAGTGGGTTTCTTTGTCCTTTGGCTTCTTATTGGGTTCAGCCAACAGGACCCTGGCAGCAGATCGGAGGAAAGGATAAACATGAGGTGAGGCATTGAATCTCTTGCTCCTTCCACAGTGGGCTGCCTGCATCTGTTGACCAAAAGTCAGAGCTAATGGTAAGGTTTTCTTGTGTCAATTCAAGAAATGTTTTGTTTCTGTCAGGAAACGTTACCCATTTGAATGTACCACCTGTTTTCTGCCAGGCCTGGACTGATACATTGTGGGAACATAGAGAAAGGAATCCTCTGAATCTGTAAAGATCACAGAGGAAGTGGCAGTTGAAGTGAGTCTTTAAAGAAGGGTAGGAGTTCCTGAGGAGATTGGGGAGAAGTTGGAGGTGGCTGCAACATAGGGCAAATGAATGAAGGGAGGGAAGAGATAAAGACAGATTTTTGAGGTGGATTGGGAAGGATCTTGTGTTTTTTTAATGAAGGGGTTTGTATTTAATCCAAAGGCAACAGGCAATAGGTTGTTTTGGTGGTTTTTAAGTAGAAGGTAGCTGATAACAATATAAAGCAATCTTTTGCAAATCTGATTATTACATGAATCCTTTTAATGAAAATGATTTTTCAGAGTTGACTTAAATTATTTTTATTATAATATGTATCCTATAATATACCAACTTTAACTAGTTATATATAAATTCCTTTTGCTTATAGTTTATTAAACAACTAAAGAACCCAAATGAATTTACATATTAAATAAAAACAAAACCGTATGAATTCTAAAATTCAAATTAACATTAACTTAATGTGAAAGATTATGTTTTGCTGAAATAAATTCATGAAAAGAATGAATTTTAATAATCATGAAAGAGTTCCCTATGCCTATAATACCTCTTGTTTTTTTTATTTAAAAAACAAATTTTTAATGTTTATTTATTTTTGAGAGAGAGCGAGAGAAAAAGATTGTGAGAAGGAGAGGGGCAGAGAGAGAGGGAGACACAGAACCCAAAGCAGGCTCCAGGCTCTGAGCCGTCAGCATGGAGCCTGATGCGGGGCTTGAACTCATGAACTGTGAGATCATGACTTGAGCCACAGTGGGACGCTTAACTGCCTGAGCCACCCAGACGCACCCTATAATACTTTGTGTTTTAAGATGATTCAATTCTTTTACTTCTTTTTGCTGCTCAAACTGTTGTGTGTCTTTCACCTATACAACATGCTGTGAAGTTATTTGACCTCCTTTTAATGTATTAAGTCTCCCTCAAGACTGAGCTGCTGAAATAACCATTTTATTATGC